CATGCAGATGTCAAGGCAATGGCCCTGAAAACCCCAGTGTTTTAAGATATGATTGCACTAATAACGATAATTTTGTTTCATTCCTGCAGTGTGGACCCTCAAATGCAAGCAATGTTTTGAACAAAATGCAGATATGTGTTCATCGGAGGCCACAGTTGACTGTGGCGAATCCTCAGGTTGTCTTACAATATCTGGTTTTGCCCAACATGGTAAGTCTTCTTGGGTACTCTACATGGATTGAAAATTTTAAATATAATCTATTTGGATAACCGCAACTGATGAATCATAAATCAACAGGAATCAAACTAAATCATCTAGGAAGGAAGATCATTTTACTGTGTGCAGTGTTCATTTTTACCAAAGCATATTTAGGAGGTGAGCTGGCTGCCTAGGGCATAATGCAAGGGTTATGTCTGCCCATAATAGAGGTGTATTCACATGTAAAAGGTGTTGACAGCCTTTCCCTATAAAGCAGACGGTGCACAAAGGACTGTTTAAGCACCTAGCATGGTTCTAGTGCCCAGTATAAAGGGTGTACCAATTTTACTCTACTGTAAGTTTCAGTCATATCTTACAATGACATCAATCAAAACATTCAGTAAAAAAAAGACAATGATTGGTTTCATCCGATAATTAAAATAAATGTGGTCTATAATTAAAGGGTTGAGTTTCAGCCCTGGCACATGTGACATAGGCAGCCCAGCACCTGTTTCAGGCCCTAGTGTCTCCCCCCAGGGATGATGGGTTGGGGCCCTAATTCACTATAAATTAAGTAGGGTGGACAAACTGTGGCTAGTTTTCACTATCCCCCTAAGTAATGGCATGCCCCTTAGGGTGGCTAGAGATCCCCAATCCTTCACCCACCCTCCAATAAAAATAAATGACCCTACCTAAGCCCCTCACGTTAATAAAAGTGACGGTGTCAAATAACTAATACTTGTTAAAATAAAATTATACTTACCATCTTCTAATTTTTCTTATCTTCAGCCCCAAAAATGGTCTAATAAAAAGCCATCATCTAGTTGCACAACTTTGTAATGGTGCCTTTCCTAGCGACTGGGCAGTAATGACAGGTGGGGCATAGGGAGGGTTAACGCCTCAATTATAGTAAGATTGACCCCATAATATTTCTATTTATTTATTTATTTGTAACATTTTTTACTGTGTGGGCCAGCAATCAAGCGCTGGCCAGTTGCCACATAATTAACCCTTGCAGTGTGTGCTGTCACTGGGTAAATAGTTCTTCAAATGATCAATTTACTAACAGAGGTGTGGAAGCCTGAACTTGACGGACGCATGTCTCTTTTTAGCTATATAACTATGTAGCTTTGAAAATTCACTTGCAAAAAGACAGTGAATTATGATTTGCAAATGTACATCCTGCCATATGCATTCGGTTTACATTCGCTCTGCATGCGGCCATTTATGTACTTCCAATTCCTGAGCTTTTTATTGGCTCACCTGCAGATTTTTCTGATTTTCTGAACACATCCAAATGAATGATACAGACTCAGTCGTACGTCATACCGTCGGGATGGCATCCGGATTTCTTGCTGCCCTCATAATATTCTCTTTTGTAGTAAAGTAATGTACTCTGGTGAGTACATCTCCAGGTGGAGTAGGTGCTATAAACTTAGGACGTGGCAATCTCTGAATGGGGTCTAGAAGCAGATCCTCATCTTTGAGGCCAGGGCAGATAGCCTTTGTGTGTGTGTGCAAAATCCTGCAAGTCAGATGGCCTGATATCCTCCGAGACACCGCGCAGGCAGATATTGTTGCGCCTGTCGCGGTCTTCATCGTCCGCCATTTTTGCTGTGAGAGCAGCTATTTTCACTTCAGATGTTTCATAGGCCGCAGCTAGATTTTTATTGGCTTCAATTATCTCCTCTGTTTTGTCCTCTAATTGTGTAGTGCGTTCACTGATAGCTTTTATGTGTGAGTGCACATCTCGGGCCAGTTTTGAAAATTCTGCCTGTAAGTTGTGCTGTAAGTCTTGCAACATTCTATGCATTGCTGTTTCTGAAGCCGGGAGTGTGTTTTCTAGGGAGATAGATGTACTGTCACTCCGGTCAGAGCGGGCTGCAGGTGAGGCTGGGCCGTCGGCGCCATTTTGGGATCGACCTCACGGTGGTGTTAGAGCCTTGATTTGTAATGCTGCCGGGCGTAATTTAGCTTTTTTAGCCGTGTGTTGGGACATGGTTTTGCTGGTTGAGTCGCAGGTCAGTTTTGCATGGTTATAATGCAGGGTATGCTGTTGTATTAGCGGTTAGATCATTCACCCTCGTCAGAGCTGGCTTCTCACACGTCCATTTCCGTGAGCTGCCAGGCCACGCCCCTGGAATTCCTAATTTGACCGGCCGCACGCATGGTCCCATGCCCAAAACAGTTCCAGAGAATCAGGGCTTGCGGTCGCTCTAGTTCGGTAGTTTATAGTCAATGTTCTTACCCTGGAGCTTGTTCACCTTGTTCGTGGGAATGTTTCCACCGAACAGTTGTGTAGAACTGAATGCAGGCAATCCTGGAAGTCTAGTGGTGTTTGGGAGTTTCAGTGTCTGAAAACAGTTCCATGAACTCGATGACCAAACATCGCTGCCTGCGTTTAGGGGAACAAGATGGCCACCACCTCGTGGTCGTTCATGCGAACAGCGGCCACCCAGACGAATACTTAGAACACTGTGATGGAAAGTGTTACGAACTATCAATTAGGCTTAACAAGCTCCCGGGTGGTCTTTGGTTCGTGCGGCTGTTCAGGAACTGAACCATCTAATCCCAATTGCACGAACAGAGCATTTTTAAAGTATTTTAGCTAGGTCTATTGCAGGGGGCCATAGTCCTGGGGCAGGAGGCTGGCAAGCAGGCTCCTCCAAAAGCCTGTGGCGAGGTGCTGTTTGCCGCACTTGGATACTGCATTTTCTTCTGGAGAAAGTTTGAATCAACACCTGAACTGCGAGCTATAAGCACTCAGCTTTTAGCAGTTCGGGAGGATCCAGATGTGAATGGGTATCTGACATATCAGCGTTCCTAACATATACATTGTAGTATTACTTATTAAATGCTCATTGTATACATTGTAGTATTACATATTAAATAATCATTGTATACATTGTAGTTTTACATATTAAATGCTCACTGTATACATTGTAGTTTTACTTGTTAAATGCTCATTGTATACATTGTAGTTCTACATATTAAATGTGCATTGTATACACTTATTTACCTGTAGTAATTAGAATTTCTTATTTATCTTGTCTTAAAACCAGATTCTCTGAAAACGACTGCGATATATAAGGGATGCCAAGTGGATGTTCCATGCAACTCCTGGCTTCGTGCTTCATCCAATGGGGCAAGAATGCAATCTTACTTTCAGTGCTGCATTGGAGAAGAATGTAACACAGACACATTTTTCTGTAAGTGAGCCACGAAAGATGCTCCCAGGATTAACTAATCTCAGGCAGAACAACAATATTCAATGTACCATAAGGTTATTTTCAAAGCCATTTTATTGAAATCTATCGAAATCTAGCAACCTCTTCCAAAAAGTAAAATTAAATTAAACAAAAATGTAATATGCATATTACATTTTTGTTTAATTTAATTTTACTTTTTGACATAGTATGAGAGGGGGTAACAGGGTGAGAGGGGGTGACAGGGTTAGAGGGGGGTGACATAGATTTAGGGGGAGGGGGTTGATATTATGATAATTTAATTCAGAATGGGTCAAGTTGATCCACCTTTTATTTTTCTAGAGATAAGAAAGATTTTTTTATAATCTATAAAATTATTTGGAGAGAATACTATATTTTTCATTATTCTGGTGTTAACAGATAGCTACCACTGAAAGTGATGCACTTTGCGGGCTGTATGAATACAGAATTTCTCCGTCAGCCATTCAGATAGATACTCTGAATCAAGCAGATCACATGTATATTTCACATCCTCTGCGTAGGAAAAATAATGAAAATAGTGTCTCTAAAAAAAAATCTATATAACACAAAAAGGCAATTTGATGGGATAAATTAGAAAATGAGAAAGTGATAGTCAAAGAGAGTACATAAATACTAAAAAACAAAATTGAAAAATGTAGGTACACTGAAATCAGAGATGGGTGTGTTAATTAATGTAGACCAGGAAACGGCAGACATTCTATACTGCCTCCCTTGGTAAACTCATTAGCTCCTTTGGCTTCCAATATCATTTCTATGCAGATGACACGCAAATCTACCTGTCCTCTTCTGATCTTTAAGTTTGGATTCTAATATTGTTGACTGGGTAAGGCAGTGGCTGAGTGACAGGCAACAGAGGGTTGAAGTCAATGGAATATATTCGAAGCTTGGACTTGTCACCAGTGGGGTACTTTTAGGGATCTGTACTTGGACCAATTCTCTTTAATATTTTTATTAGTGATATTGCAGAACAGTGGCGGCTCTAGACTTGGCGAGGCCTTAGGCAAAACTCAAACATGAGGTCCCCACTAACACCATTAGTGAAAATAAAATACCTGTTGACTTGTGTGTGTATAAGATGTAGATATATTGAAGGGCAGGCTTGCACTCTGTATTCATCGTTCAGAGGCTTGCATTGTTGCGGCTCACTGTGCCGCTGTGTTGTGAGCTCTCGGACTGTTGTTATTTCATACATTGCAATAAACAAATTTAAATTTGCAATTATGCCAATTGTTTATACATGATTGCAAGGTATGGTTGCACAGCCTGGCAGTTGTGTATACATAATTGCTGGTGTGAAGGGGTTATTGGAAACAGAAATTAAGACATGAGTGTGACACAATGAGGGAGAGTGAGTGTGACATGGTGTAAAGAGAGAGTGTTACAGGTTGAGAGGAGATATGCATTACATAATTAAGGGATTAATGTGATATGGTGAATGTAGCATGCTTGGGGCATGAGTATCACAGGGTTGGGGTGAATGTGGCATGGTTTGAGAAGAGAATGTTACAGGGCAAGGGGGGATGAATGTGACATGATTAAGGGGGTTAATTGTGACAGGATTAGAGGCGTTATTGTGACAGGTTGAGTGTGGAAGGGTTGGGGGACTATAACAGGTTTAGATGTGTTAATGTGACAGAGTGAGTGTGGAAAGGTTGGTGGGTGAGAGAGCTGGGGATGAGTGTGGCACGGTTAGAGGAGAGAGTGTGTCAGGATGAGGGGAAGTAGGCGTGACAGGATTGGAGGTTTTTTTTGACAGGGTGATTGTGACAGGGTGAATGTCAATGAGTAGAGTGTGATAGGGCTGGGAGGTGAATGTGACAGTGCGAGAAAAGGTGAGTGTGACAGGATTAGGGGAATTCCTGTTAAAGGGTAAGTGCTGCATGATTGGTTGGGGTGAGTGTGACTGCATCAGGAGTTAATATAAGTATGTGAGGGTGACAGTGTGTGTGGGGATGGTAGCAGTGTCTCGGGGAGTGTCAGTGTGTGTTAGGGGTAACAGAGTGTTAGGAGGGGGGTGCCATAATGTGTAGGGGGTGACAATGTGTATGGAGGAGAGTGACAGGGTGTATGGAGGGGGGTTCCAAAGTGTATGGAGGGGGGTGCTAGAGTGTATGGAAAGACTGCCAGAGTGTGGAGGGGTGACAGTGTGTATAGAGGGGGGTGCCCGTGTGTGCAGAGAGTGGTGCCGTGTGTGCGGAGAGTGGTGATTGGGGGAGTATTAGGGGAGTGACATAGTATGAGAGGGGGTGATAGGGTGAGAGAGGGCGACAGGGGGGTGACATAGCGTGAGAGGGGGTGACAGGGTGAGAGGGGGTGACAGGGTTAGAGGGGGGTGACATAGATTTAGGGGGAGGGGGTTGAAATTTACCTGGTGGTCCAGTGGACTCCCTCTGTCCCTGGTGGTCAGGTGGGCTCTCCGGTCTGCAGCTCTGCCAGATGCAGAGCTGCAGTCCACATGGAAAATGTCTAACAGAGAGGGTGGGTGACATAGTGTGAGAGGGGGTGACAGGGTGAGAGGAGGGTGACAGGGGAGTGACAAAGTGTGACAGGGTGAGAGGGGGGTGACATGGGGGTGACATAGTGTGAGAGGGGTGACAGGGTGAGAGTGGGGTGACATAGTCTGAGAAGGGGTAACAGGGTGAGTGACATAGATTGAGAAGGGGTTACAGGGGGAGGGGATTGAAATTTACCTAGTGGTCCAGTGGGCTCTCCGGTCTGCAGCTCTGCCGGATGCAGAGCTGCAGACTACATGGCAAATGTGTCACAATCTCCAGTCAGAGCATTGCCATGGTAACCCACGGCAACGCTCTGATTGGCTGGATATCGTGAGACACTTCAGTCTGCAGCTCACACCCGGCGGAGATGCAGACTGAAGGCTGGTTCTCCCCCAGGGCAGACCAAGCGGAGGGGCCTCGCACCCTGCGGCATAAAAGGTAAGCCGCTGGGCCCCCTCCTGTGTCGGGTCTTCGGTCATAGACCGAGAACCCAACAGTTCAGTCTTCCCTAAGACAATTTAGGCGGCTGCGGGGCACCTGACAGAGCGAGGCCTTAGACGGCCGCCTAAATTGCCTAATTAGAAAGCCGCCTCTGTTGCAGAAGGTCTTGATGGTAAGGTATGTCTTTTTGCTGATGATACTAAGATATGTAACAGGGTTAATGTACCAGGAGGGATAAGCCAAATGGCAAATGATTTAGGTAAACTAGAAAAATGGTCAGAGTTGTGGCAACTGACATTTAATGTGGATAATTGCAAAATAATGCATCTTTTACGTAAAAACCCAAGGGCAGAGTACAGAATATTTGATAGAGTCCTAACCTCAACATATGAGGAAAGGGATTTAGGGGTGATTATTTCTGATGACTTAAAGGTAGGCAGACAATGTAATAGAGCAGCAGGAAATTCTAGCAGAATGCTTGGTTGTATAGGGAGAGGTATCAGCAGTAGAAAGAGGGAAGTGCTCATGCCATTGTACAGAACACTGGTGAGACCTCACTTGGAGTATTGTACACAGTACTGGAGACCGTATCTTCAGAAGGATATTGATACCTTAGAGAGGGTTCAGAGAAGGGCTACTAAACTGGTTCATGGATTGCGGGATAAAACTTACCAGGAAAGGTTAAAGGATCTTAACATGTATAGCTTGGAGGAAAGACGAGACAGGGGGGATATGATAGAAACATTTAAATATATAAAGGGAATCAACACAGTAAAGGAGGAGACTATATTTAAAAGAAGAAAAACTACCACAACAAGAGGACATAGTCTTAAATTAGAGGGACAAAGGTTTAAAAATAATATCAGGAAGTATTACTTTACTAAGAGGGTAGTGGATGCATGCAATAGCCTTCCAGCTGAAGTGGTAGATGTAAACACAGTAAACACATTTGCCTTGGGCGGCATTTTCCAGGGGGCGGCAAAAAAAGCCACCCCCCAAATGCCCAGGGCAAATGCCTTGTTAGCATTGCGGCTAACTAACATGCTGGGCTGGGTGGGCGGCGTTGGCGGGAGCTCTTCCTCTGAGCGGTCTGCTCAGCTCCCTTGCACGCCGCAGAGTGAGGCTGGGAGCCGGAATATGACGTCATATTCCATCTCCCAGCCTCACTCTGAGGCGCGCGAGGGAACTGAGCAGAGTGCTCAGGGGAAGTGCTTCCTCGCCAGCTAGTGTGTGTCTGTTAGTGTGTGCTTGCCTGTGAGTGTGTGTGTCTGTTAGTGAGTGTCTGTTAGTTAGTGTGTGTGTCTGCTAGTGAGTGAGTGAGTGTGTCTGTGTGTGTATGTTTGCCTGTGAGTGTGTCAGTGAGTGTGTGTGTCTGCTAGTGTGTGTCTGTTAGTGTGTGCTTGCCTGTGAGTGTGTGTCTGTTAGTGAGTGTCTGTTAGTGAGTGTGTGTGTCTGCTAGTGAGTGAGTGTGTCTGTGTGTGTATGTTTGCCTGTGAGTGTGTCAGTGAGTGTGTGTGTCTGCTAGTGTGTGTCTGCTAGTGAGTGTGTGTGTGTCTGTGTTTGTCAGTGAGTGTGTTTTTCTGTTAGCTGATGTATGCGTGTATGTCAGTGAATGTGTGTGTGTGTGTATTTAGAAGGCGGGGCAGGGGGAAGTGATGGGTGGGGGTCGCGCGTGGGGGGGGAGATTGGGGGAAGCGCCTGAGTTTTGTCCTGCCTAGGGCAACACAAAACCAGGATACACCACTGGGATAGGCATAAGGCTATCCTAACTATAAGATAAGGCCAAGGACTAATAAAAGTATTTATAAAAGTAGGCAGACTAGATGGGCCGAATGGTTCTCATCTGCCTTCACATTCTATGTTTCTATCTCTCCCTGTCCCTCTTGACTAGTGTCTCTGACTGTTACTCCTGTGTCTGTCTGTCTCCAAGTCAACAGTGCTACCATCAGCTCCACCACGCAGGCTCGCTGCCTAGGTGTTCTCTTTGACTCCGACCTCTCCTTTAAGCCTCATGTTCAATCTATCGCCAAATCGTGTCATTTCCATTTCAAAAACATTGCGCACATCTGCCCCTACTTAACGCCAGATGTGACTAAGGTGTTGGTCCATTCCACTGTCCTTTCTCGCCTTGACTACTGTAATCCACTTCTCAGTGGTCTTACGTGCTCCCAACTTGCTCCCTTACAGTCCATAATGAATGCGGCAGCGAGGCTCATCTTCCTGTCCGCCCGCACCTCCTTCTGTCAGTCACTACATTGGCTTCCTATAAAATATAGAGCTCAATTTCATATTTTGGTTCTTGCTTTCAAATCTCTAAATAATGCTGCTCCTACCTCCCTTATACACAAGTATGTCCCGTCTAGGCCCTTATGAACTGCTGAAGACTTACGTCTATATTCTGTCTGTACTCCCACCTCTGATGCTCGCCTTCAAGATTTCTCGAGGGTTGCACTGTTCCTGTGGAACTCACTTCCCTCCTCCGTTAGATGCTCACCCAGTCTCCACTCTTTCAAAAAATCATTAAAAACCCACTTCTTCATAAAAGAGATCTAGTATTCTTAGTAAAATGGGAGGGTAAGTAAGGAATACACTTACAGATTTTAGGAGTTATTGAATGTTTCACTGATATAAGTATTAGCGGTACAAGCCCCACTTATGGATTCTTGTGAATTTCCTTGGTATCACTGACCGACTCTAGCTGAGAACAAGGGAACTCACAAGTATCTATAAGCGGTATTGTTCTGCTCATGCTCATAGAAGTGGAGCTTTCAAAATGATACTAAGATATGTAACAGGGTTGATGTTCCAGGAGGGATAAGCCAAATGGCAAATGATTTAGGTAAACTAGAAAAATGGTCAGAACGGTGGCAACTGATATTTAATGTGGATAAGTGCAAGATAATGCACCTTGGACGTAAAAACCCAAGGGCAGAGTATAGGATATTTGATACCCTACTTACCTCAACATCTAAGGAAAGAGATTTAGGAGTAATTATTTCAGATGACTTAAAGGTAGGAAGACAATGTAACAGAGTGTCACGGTTTACCTTAGTTGGAAGTCTGTAGTGCAGATATGTGCTCACCCTTACAATTAAACACAGGCCAAGGTGGTCAGGTAAGAACTCACCTGGCCTGTGAGTCTGTGCACGGGGGCTGTGCTGGATAATGCTCCAAGTCGTAGTACAGATACGGACATAAGCAGGAGAATCATTGTGGGTAAGCCAAAGGTCAGAGGGTGCCAGAGGTCAGGATAAATGGGTAGAAAGCCAAGGTCAGGAGCCAACTAGAAAACACTGGAACACAAACAGCAATGTGGGAACCAGAGTCAATGAACTGACACTGCCCTCTGGGGGAGGCAGTATCTTATATCTGGCTAATGAGGCCATCAGCTTCAGGTGTGTTGAGAATATAGGAACATCAACAGAAAACGTCCAGCCCCCAGTGATGGATACAAGGTAGGATTAGACTTCTGGTTTATCCTAGAGCTGTATGGTGGCTCAGAGGCAAAACAGCAGACACAGGGCTGCAAAGTAAGGGTTTAAATCCCTTGTTGGGCACTTATGGGTCCACCTCGTCTGGATGTTGCGGTGAGAACTGTGATAGTAGCCCCCTTCAAGAACGCATCTTTGTTTTTTCCATACATCTCCTTGGCTTCACAATCACAGTCGACAAAGTTCTTATAATTAAAGTCTCTAGAGCGGAGTCCTTTTAAAGCCTGGGGCTCTATAGTACCAGTTTCAGGAACTACTGGAGAGAGGTCAAGGTTATTCAAGGATTTGGTGCAGGTGGCAAGTACCTTGATCCCAGGAGACGTTTTCTATGCTCCTGGTAATGTACCTAAAGAAAAAGGTTCAGAGTTTGCGGATTTCAAAGCCTTTTCAAACGTCTCCAAATCTGTTTTGCGTATTTTGGTACCATTGAAGGCATAGGTACAGTCCGAAGGTAATTCCTCTTTAAGTTGACAGGAAGGTGGTACCAGCTTTAACATGAGTGTTTTCAGGAGAAGGTGCAGACTTCTCAAGAGTACTGGGTATGTTATTTACCATAGTCTGAGTACCCTTCTGTATCACAGAACAGGGACATGGCTGGCAGCAACCTTGGCAATTTTTCAGACTGGGTTACCGAGATGACAGGATGAGTCCGTAGGGTCCCCAACAGAAGGGGCCTTGGCCTAGGTGGATGAGTTGGGCAGAGAGAGATGAAATGCCCTCTTTCCCCACAGTATAGACACAGGCCATGGATAGAAACATTTAAATACATAAAGGGAATCAACATAGTAAAGGAGAAGACTATATTTAAAAGAAGAAAAACTACCACAACAAGAGGGCATAGTCTTAAATTAGAGGGGCAAAGGTTTAAAAATAATTTCAGGAAGTATTACTTTACTGAGAGGGTAGTGGATGAATGCAATAGCCTTCCAGCTGAATTGGTAGAGGTTAACACAATGAGAGAGTTTAAGCATGCATGGGATAGGCATAAGGCTGTCCTAGACTTAAGATAATGCCAGGGACTAATTAAAAGTATTTCAAAATATTGGGCAGACTAGATGGTTCTTATCTGCCGTCACATTCTAGGTTTCTATGTTTCTATGTAAGAAATCGGTCTAGACATACCTAGAGCATTTGGCACTCGGGGCGGGTCCTATGCTTGGCACCCCCTTGCCCCCCCAGCGCCAGTTTGGCTCCGCCTCCGATTTTGCTTAGCTTTGCCCCACTTTTCCTCCATGCACCCTAACTACCATGGGGCACTGTGCGGCCACAGGTCACACAGCCCCCTCCAGCCGGGACCGGTGCAAGGATTTTTGCCGCCCTAGGCAAATGTAAAGTTTGCCGCCTCCCCCAAGTGACATCACAATGCCCCACCCATATGATTTGCCATGTTATCTAATGCCAGTGCTGCAGTGCCGCAGTGTTTACATTAAAAGGCCTGCAGGGACAGGCTATAGACACCAGAACCACTACATTAAGCTGCAGTGGTTTTGGGGACTATAGTGTTTCTTTAATGTGAGGTAAATTAGAGATTAGTGCCACGAATAATATACTAGATTGCCTACTTACAACCAGATGAGGATGATGACGGGCTATAGCTGCAGTCTGGCTCCACTGGTCTGGTGTAGAACAGGCTCTCTGGAGGCGGTTTGTAACTGTGGTCACAAAAATCAATGTTCTGGGAGAACTGGAAGCAGCTCCATTTTTGGGGGCCCTTTACACAGCTCAAGGTCTGGGTCCCAGGGTTCACCTTCATGTTCCACCAATGACTTTGTTCACAGGGGGTGGAGTGTGTAGGGGATGTCCTGATATGTGTGTAAGGAATGCATTGTGTGAATCTGTGTTTGTATGTGTAAGGGCTGCAAGGTGTGTTTCTGTGTATGTACGAGATGCATTGAGTGAGTGTAAGGGGTGCATTGAGTGTGTGTAATGAATGCATTGTGTGTTTCTGTGTGTGTAAGGGATGCATTGTGTGTAATGGTTGCATTGCTTGTGTATGTGTGTCTGTGTGTGTAATGCAGTGTGAGTAATGCATTGTGTGTTTTTCTGTGTGCAAGGGGTGCATTGTGTGTGATGAATGTCAATCTCTCCCCCCCTCCAATTTCCTTCTCTCCCCCCCTCCAATTTCATTCTCTCTCCCCCTCCCAATTTCTTTCTTTATCCCCCTCTCCCAATCTTTCTTTATCCCCCCCTCCAATTTCCTTCCCCCTCCCAATTTCTTTCTTTATTCCCCCTCTCCAATTTCCTTCCCCCCTCCCAATCTCTCCTTATCCCCCCAATCTCTCATTATTCCCCTCCCAATCTCTCCTTATCCCCCTCCCAATCTCTCCTTATCCCCCCTCCCAATCTCTCCTTATTCCCCCCATCTCTCCTTATTCCCCTTCATCCAATCTCTCCTTATTCCCATCTCTCTTATTCCCCCCATCTCTCCTTATTCCCCCATCTCTCATTTATTCTCCCCATCTCTCTTATTCCACCCCATCTCTCTGCTGTTCCACCCCATATCTCCTTATTTCACCCCCCATCTCTCTCCTTATTTCCACTTCCATCTCTCCTTGTTCCCCCATCTCTCCTTATTCCACCCTCATCTCCTCCTTGTCCCAATCTCTCCCGCCCATCCCCATCTCTCCTTGTTCCCATCTCTCCTTGCCCCATCTCTCTCATATTTCACCCCATCTCTCTCTTTGATTCACCCTCCCATCTCTCTCTTTGTTCACCCCCATCTCCTCCTTATTCCCCATCTCTCCTTATTCCCCCACATCTCTCCTTATTCCACCACCATCTCTCATATCCCCCATCTCCTTATCCCATCTCTCCTTGTTCCCAAGATCTCTCATATTGCCCCCATCTCTCTCCTTATTTCACCCCATCTCTCTCCTTATTTCACCCCCATCTCCTTATTCTCCCATCTCTCCTTGTTTACCCCCATATCTCTCCTTGTTACCCCAAAATACTCTCCTTGGTATTTTTACCTCCCCATATCTCTCCTTGTTTTTTTTAGCTCTCCTTGTTCCTTGCCCAATCTCTCTCCTTGTTTCACCCCCATCTCTCTCCTTATCCCATCTCTCCTTATTCTACCCCCCCCACCTCAGTTGTAACGTGGCCGAGCCCTGTATCATGGTCCGCGGGTACAGGGAGCTTTTGTTTCCTGTACCCGGTCGGACTAACAGGAAGTGCACACTGAGTGTGCACTTCCTGTTAGTCCGGCCGGGTACAGGAGACAGATGCTCCCTGTACCCGTGGACCATACAGGGCTCGGCCACGCTACAGAGAGGGAGTGACAGGAGGGAGCACTGAGCGCTTCCCTCCTGTCAGCCCCTCTCCTCAGGCTGCAGCAGGGGGGGGCGGCGCCCCCTCCCAAGGCACCCCCCACCCTGCTGGCACCCGGGGCGGACCGCCCCCAGTACCCCCCTTAGTACGCCACTGGGTCTAGATAAAAAAATATTTTTCTTGGGTAGGACATTGACTTAAAGATAGAGCACAGAGAGTTTTCAATAATGGTACATTTTCAAGCTTGACAATAGTGGTAAGTGGTGTCCCTCAGGTTTCTGTTCTTAGAAGCTATTTAATAGATTTATAAATGCTCTTGAAATAGACATTTTCAGTGTTTGCAGATGACACACAACTCTGTAAAGTAATTCAATGTGAGCAGGATTTTGCTTTAGTCTGGGGGACTGGGCACTCAAACATAACATTTGATGTACTGTTTCGGGATAAAGAATGCACAAGCAACTTGGACTCTAAACGGTTGTGAATTAGGCATAACACACAAGAAGGATTTCGGAATTGTTATAGAAACAAACTAGGCAGCAATATGCAATATCAATTAGTTGTCTTAGCAGTTGTTATGGCCAGTTAGATACTGTCACGTATAAAACGGGACATTTATTTTCGGGATGGAAATATAATTTTGCCTCTTTATAAATTACTGGTAAGACCACACCTTAAATATGCTGTGCAATTTTGGGGATCTGTTCTAAAAAAGGATTTTTGGCACTAGAAAAAGTGCAGAGGCAGGTTACAAAATTGATAAAAGGAATGGAGCATTTTAGTTATGAAGAAAGGTTAACAAATTTAAATCTGTTTATTTTACAAGAACTGCATACAAAGGACATGAGGTCACTCATTTAGACTGGAAGAAAGGAGATTTAGCCCAATGTAAAGGGAAGGTTTTTGTTTTTTTTACAGTAAGAACAATAGGGATGTGTAATTCTCCTGCAGAGATTGTTTCATTAGTCTGTAGAGATGCTTAAACGGCAATTAGATAAATACATGAAAAAAACATAATATACAGGGATATAAATTAATTTTAATTAATGGATATCAGCTTCTTGATCCAAGGAGATATCTTACTGCCATTCTGGGGTTAAGAAGGAATTCTTTCCTAGTTTGTTAGAAAATAAAAAAGTGCTTCAAACTGTTTTTTTCTGTACCTTCTTTTAGACCAATAGCAAAAACAGATGTGGTTATTATTATTATTATTATTATTATTATTATTATGTTATTATTTATATAGCGCCAACAAATTCCATAGCGCTTGACAGTGGGTGGACGAACAAGCATGTAGTTGTAACCAGACAAGTTGGACATACAGGAACAGAGGGATGAGGGCCCTGATCAATGAGCTTACATGCTAGAGGGAGTGAGGTAAAATGACACAGAAAGGTAAGGATAGTATTAGACTAATGACAGTTGCAGGAGAGGAATCAGTCGGGAGCTATTAACAGCTATTAACAGTTTAATTGATACTCTTTTATGAAGAAGTGGGTTTTTAATGATTTTTTGAAGGAGTGGAGACTGGGTGAGCATCTAACGGAGGAGGGAAGTGAGTTTCACAGGAACGGTGCAGCCCTCGAGTCTTGAAGCAGAGCATCAAGGTGGGAGTATGGACAGAAGATAGACGTAAGTCTTCAGCAGAGCGTAAGGGCCTAGACGGAACATAATATACATGTGATAAATACATGTCTTTTTCAGTCTATGTCACTAACTATTAAATATATAACACCTTCAGATTTATGAATGTTTCCACGTGTATCTCAGGCTACTGGCACCTCCAAAGATTTTTGATCCAAAACTAAACATATAGAAACTGATGATTATCTTTACATTTCAGTGCCTGTGGACAATGAGGGTCACAATGGCAGAGAATGCCAATCTTGTAACAAGGAGGGAACCCTGGAAGAATGTGTTCCTGAAAGCAAGGTGCTTTGCAGGGGCGATGACACCCAATGTTTGGATTATCGAGGGACGGCATTAACAAATGGTAAAATTATTAAAGATTATGAAAAAAAAACCAACATATTTTCCATAAATACCACCATTTTGATACACATTTATTCAAGATATGTAAAAGATATAGAGACCATTTTGTACAATCTTTCTATGTGTGCTATTAAATTTGATAGAGTTAAAGGGTTAAGTTAATTAAAAAACCTTGTCATAAATTGAGGTTCCAAAGCCTTATTGTGGTAAATACAGCTGTGGTGGCAGGATTAACAACAGGAGGACAGGGACCAGGAACCATAAATTTGCCTGGCCCCATTCAACATTCCTATGTGAAGAATGAAAGGGAAGCCCAAACAGCTAATTTTACAGGGACCATGTGGCAACTTATTTTCAATTGGTGAGGTTCCCTCTAGGGCATATGAATCTTGCATAGAGATATTTTAGTGATAATCACCACTTTTGGGAAATTACTCTTCTCTTTTGGGAAAGTAATCTCTTCTTGTCTTGTTGGGGTTCATCCTGTGCCTACCATATCTCAGCAAACCCTGATTGTAACTGCACAGAAAGAGAGCAGGAAATAGATATGTGCTGTTCCAGGCAGAGTTCTGCAGCACCTCCACTTAACACCAGGGGATATGTGAGATCAAGGGAGGTACTGCTCCTTACACCTTTGGTCAGCAGTTTATACCAACAATCCCTGTGACTCCTATCATTTTAATTATGTCTCTCTGGCTACCCAGGGTTCCACAAACATCTTGACCATAAAGCTTCCAAGATCACTGATACATATCAGTGAAGAGCTCAGAGAATATGAGAGCTGTAAAAGTAAATAGAAACCACTAAGGTCTACAGAAAAATACAGGTGATACTTGAAAAATTTGAATATCGTGCAAAAGTTAATTTATTTCAGTAATGCAACGTAAAAGGGGAAACTAATATATGAGATAGACGCATTACATGCAAAGCAAGATAGTTCAAGCTGTGATTTGTCATAAGTGCGATGGTTATGGCTGACAGCTCATGAAAACCCCAAATCCACAATCTCAGTAAATTAGAATAGTACATAAAACAAGGAGTGTACAATATCCGACCTCTGAAAAGTATATGCATGCATATGGACTCAGTGCTTGGTTTGGGCCCCTTTTGCAGCAATTACTGCTTCAATGCGGCATGGCATGGAAGTTATCAGCCTGTGGTGTTATGGATGACCAGGATGTTTCAATAGCGGTCTTCAGCTCTTCTGTATTGTTCGGTCTCATGTTTCTCATCTTTCTCTTGGCAATGCCACATAGATTCTCTATGGGGTTCAGGACTAGTGATGTCGCGAACCGTCAGCGAACTTGCCGCGAACGGTTCGCTGCGGTTCGTTCGTGGCGAACTCCGGTCAGCTGACACATCCCTGCCAATCTCCGGCAGACCCTCCCTCCCAGATCCTCCTACTTCCTGGACAGCATCCATGTTGAAGGCATCTTCAACATGGATGCTGTCCATGAGGTGGAAGGGTCTGGGAGGGAGGGTCTGCCGGAGATTGGCAGGGATGTGTCAGCTGACCGGTGTTCGCTGCGAACCGTAAGCGGCAAGTTCGCGGACGGTTCGCGACATCACTATTCAGGACAGGCGAGTTTGCTGGCCAATCAAGCACAGTAATCCCACGGTCATTAAACCAGGCTTTGGTGCTTTGACAGTGTGGGCTGCTGGAAAATGAAGTCCGCATCCACATAAAGCTCATCTGCGGAAGGAAGCATGAAGTGCTCCAAAATCTCCTGGTAGACGGCTGCGTTGACCCTGGACTTAATAAAGCGCAGTGGACCAACACCAGCAGTTGACATGGCTCCCCAAATCAACACAGACTGTGGAAACTTCACACTGGACTTCAAGCATCTTGCAGTGTGTGCCTCTCCATTCTTCCTCCAGACTCTGGGTCCTTGGTTTCCAAATGAGATGCAAAAGTTGCTCTCATCAGAAAAGAGGACTTTGGACCACTGAGCAACAGACCAGGTCTGTTTTTCTTTAGCCCAGGTAAGACGCTTCTGATGTTGTTTGTTGTTCAGGAGCGGCTTGACAAGAGGAATACAACATCTGAAACCCATGTCCAGGATCCGTCTGTGTGTGGTGGCTCTTGATGCACTGACTCCAGCCTCAGTCCACTCCTTGTGAAAGTCCCCAACACTTTTGAATGGCCTTTTCCTGACAATCCTCTCCAGGCTGTGGTCAACCCTACTGCTTGTGCACCTTTTTCTTCCACACTTATCCCTTCCACATAACTTTCTATTAATGTGCTTTGATACAGCACTTTGGGAACATCCAACTTCCTTCACAATTACCTTTTGAGGCTTTCCTTCCTTATGGAGGGTGTCAATGATGGTTTTCTGCACAACTGTCAGGTCAGCAGTCTTCCCCATGATTGTGATTCCTACTGAATCAGACCGAGGGACCATTTAAAGGCTCAGAAACCCTTTGCAGGTGTTATACTTAGCTGATTAGAGTGGGACACGGTGAGCCTGGAATATTGCACCTTTTCGCAATATTCTAATTTACTAAGATAGTAGATTTGGGGTTTTCATGAGCTGTAAGCCATAATCATCGCACTTATGACAAATCATGGCTTGCGCTATCTTGCTTTGCATGTAATGTGTCCATCGCATATATTAGTTTCCCCTTTTACGTTGCATTACTGAAATAAATGAACTTTTGCACGATATTCTAATTTTTTGAGTATCACCTGTATATTACAGAAAAGCTTTAGTCTAGACCATGGGAAATAATGTAGATATTGGAAGCCCTCATGCCGTCAAGAGTTCTCAAAGCAACACCTGAGGGCAATTTCTGACTCCTTAAATGCTTCTGACATGCAGTAACTGGCAAATACTATAAATGACTGACTCCTGGCGCATACTATAAATGACTGACTCCTGGCACATACTATAAATGACTGTCACCTGCTCTGGTTTGACTGGAACAGTCTCCCATAATAAGTAAGTCCTGGGTCCTAGGAATAGCTTTCCATATATGGGATTCTAGTGGCTGGTCCATATACTGGCTGTGGTTAGGATATTGTTTGCTTGGTTTGAAGAAGGTGGCCAGCTGGGGATCAGTGTTTGCTTGAGATAAGTTCTCCAGCCAGCTACATAACTAAAGGTCCAACAATCCATTTTTTTATACTTTACTTAATAAATGTAAGTCTTGTTCAGCATCCAAGGTATCTCTATCATTAAAAGTTCTTGAATTATTAGTTGAAGGACTCAGAAAGCTTGAACACGCTACAAACAGTACATATTTAGAAATTAACAGCTTGTTATCTCTCTCTACAGATGGAAAAGAGACAGAATTTTCTTTTAAAGGTTGTATCAATCCTATTGGATTTGAATATTTTCATGGTTTTATAACCTTCCCCGAAAAGAACCGTGTAGCCCTGAAACTCATCACCTGATCAGTCATTATCAATGATTACTGATTGAAGGCTCAATTGTGCATGCATTGCTCACATTCAAGTCCTGATTCTGAATAGCATCACAAAGAAAGTCATGTATTGAAGCCACTTACACAAAAATAAAGACTATTAGAATGAAAACAGTTTATCTGTGAGATTGTGTGTTGTTTGCATGATATTACATAGTTACATAGTTACATAGCTGAAAAGAGACTTGCGTCCATCATGTTCAGACTTCCCCACATTTGTTTTTTGCTGTTGATCCAAAAGAAGGCCAAAAACCCAGTTTGAAGCACAATTTTGCAACAAACTAGCAAATATTCCTTCTTGACCGAAATCCAGAATACATGCATTCTGAGATGCTATCGCTAAGAATACACTCCTAGTACATGTAATCCCTAATAGATAACTGTCATTCTCTCTATCAGTTACATCTTAACTTTGGCAAACACGTGTCTCAAACTGAGGGGGAAGCAAGGGAAACTCATCCAATGACGGAGTACTTTTGCAGGCAGTGCCCCTGATTGGCATCACAAAGAATGCTCTGCTTGCCAAAGTTGTGCCCAGAAACCAGGGATCGCTCTACAATCTATTTTTCTTTTTTTTCTTGGAGAAGGGGGAGGGAGGGTTAGGAAATATGGACAAAAGGCTATAAATAGGGTTATGAATGATTACTGATGGAAGGCTCAAAATCAGGTCCTGATCCTGCTTTAAAGGACCACTCTAGGCACCCAGATCACTTCCTGGCACTATAGTGGTCCTTTAATGCAATTTCATTTTTTTCCTCTTTAAAGGGTTTGCATCCACCCTGGCTTGGGGGTTTGAATAGGCTACATGACAGGCAGCTCAATTTCCCATGTAATTCATATAGTTAGAGCTTTGCAGAGTTTTGTGAAAGAAAAAATGATACATGTCCTTAAAATGTAACCAAGAGGTATTAGAGGACTCGTCTTCTGAAGAGATCTAACTAGAGGCAACAAAATTCTCTACATTTCTAGCTTTACATGCTCTACTCTCTCATTTTCTGGACACTACATCTACATAATATTTTTCTACTTCTAAAACAGGAAGAAACTTTTGTAACATACAGTATATACTCGAGTATAAGTCTAGTTTTTCAGCACATTTTTTGTGCTTAAAAACCCCCACTCGACTTATACTCGAGTCACTGTCTGTATTATGGCAACTTAGAGAGCCGCGGCTGTCAGAGCCATGGCAACGATCCTGCGGCAACCAGACCGCGAGACTTACAGTGGAGCTGACCGGAACGGAGGAGAAGGGAGCTGACAGGAGCTGCAGGAAAGCTAAGTAAATGCTTCCTGCCGGCCCCCCCACTTCACAGCCCATGCCACTGGACCACCAGGGATTAAGATAGCCCCCCTCCCTGACCAGTTAACAAGCAGGGAGGGGGGACAAAAACAAATTAAAATAATAAAAAAACAATATAAAAAAAAAATTAAAATAATAAAAATGCCCTCCCCCTACCCGGTTCACACACACTACACAAACACACACTCTGCATTATATACACACTCTGCATTATATACACAGAGTGTGTGTATATAATGCAGAGTGTGTGTGTGTATATAATGCAGAGTGTGTGTTTGTATGAGTGTGTGTGTATATAATGCACACACTCTGCATTATATACACACACACTCATACAAACACACACTCTGCATTATATACTCACACACTCATACAAACACACACTCTGCATTATATACACACACACTCATGCAAACACACTCTGCATTATATACTCACACACACTCATACAAACACACACTCTGCATTATATACACACACACTCATGCAAACACACTCTGCATTATATACACACACACACTCATACAAACACACACTCTGCATTATATACACACTCTGCATTATATACACAGAGTGTGTGTATATAATGCAGAGTGTGTGTTTGTATGAGTGTGTGTGAGTATATAATGCAGAGTGTGTGTTTGTATAAGTGTGTGTGTATATAATGCAGAGTGTGTGTTTGTATGAGTGTGTATGTATATAATGCAGAGTGTGTGTTTGTATGAGTGTGTGTGTATATAATGCAGAGTGTGTGTTTGTATGAGTGTGTGAGTATATAATGCAGAGTGTGTGTTTGTATGAGTGTGTGTGTATATAATGCAGAGTGTGTGTTTGTATGAGTGTGTGTATATATAATGCAGAGTGTGTGTTTGTATGAGTGTGTGTGTGTATAATTATAAAAATCACAGAATTTCATAGCCCCAAGTTTTACCCTCGACTTATCCACGAGGCATAGCATATTTCACAATTGTTGGTCACAAAACTGCACTCGACTTATACATGAGATCGACTTATACACGAGTATATACGGTATTTGTTATCTCAACAAATTCCTCACTGAAATTAGACAAAATACGGAACTTTGTCCTTAAGTGAATCCTATACATTGATTTCTTTGATTTGTTTACTAGATTCTCCCCTTAACAGAGAGTTCCTCATCTTACTCCTGACTATAGGATAACCTCTGCGGATATCTTTCACATTATAATCTCTCTTTTTTAAATAATCTATCACATCTACTGCATGTTTCTCAAATAGAGGGTCTGTAGAGCAATTGAGGTACCTCAGAAATTCCCCTACAGGCATCCTGGTAAACATGTGATGGGGTTGACATGTTGATGGCAACAATAATAAGTTGTAGAAAGAGGATCCAGGCACTCCAAGGATATTCAATTGTATTTATTAGGACAAGTGAGACACCATACATTTTTTTTACTCTATTTGCAAACAATAATAAGTTGCCTGTTGTATGTTTTCTGAAGTTTTCAGGAAGAAAATGTCTTGTAGATGCAGCTATGGATATTCATAAATCCAAAAAATCAATATATGAGAGTTACCATTTAGATGTAAAAAATAAATTTACATTATTCATGTTTAGAAAATCCACAACATTTTGGATCTCACTCTGATGTTCCTTTCAATTAAATTAAAGATCATTGATACAAAAACAATAAAAGTTAATATTATCTCTATAAGATTTGGCATCTCCAAAGACGTAGGACAATTGCACCCTAAAGCACAAACACACGCCGCGTGTATATGTATG